TAAATCCAGCACCAGGGACTCTCTGACACCCTCTTCTAGCCTCTACCGTGTGTACACGTGGTATATATTCATATACACACAAACATATATGTATACACATATAAATAAAAATTAAGAATAAGGCAGAGAAGGATTGAACATCCTGAAATGGACCACCACCTGAAATGAATTAGGAGCATATATAATCAGCTATGCTTCTTAGGATGTTAATCTGTTTTTAGTCGTCCCTCTAGTTCCCCACACATGATTTCATGTTTGCTAGGCAAGTGCTCTACCCTTGAGTGCTATCTCCATCTCATTTTTTTTAAATAACTTTTTATTTAGTGTTAAGTAGTCCAAACTGGCCTTGAACTTGCTCTGAGCCCAGGAAGGCCTTGAAAGTGTCATCTTCCTATTCCTGACTCCAGAAGGAACTGGGCTTGAAAGACTGTGCTGCCAGCCAGACTAATCTATTGCTTGTTTGAGTAGAAGACATTCTGGAGGCAGAAAAACCTCTTAGGAGATATTCACAGTGAACCAGAAAAGAGGCAGTGAGAGTATGGATTAAGGCAATGGAAACAGGATGCCAGAGGTATTCTAGAAGCAAAATTAGACTTTCTAGATAAGTCACATGAAGTGACAGTGAATATCACATTGGCCAGGCTTGAGCTTCTGAGAACTCAAAGCCCACCCCCTAGTGACACACCAACAAAGCCACACCTACTCCAACAAGACCACACCTCCTAATAGTGCTACTCCCTATGGGGCCATTTTTATTCAAACCACCATAGATATATACCACTAGAGTGCTGGAGATCCCAACTCTGTCCCTCATACTTGTGCAGCAGGCACTTTACCAGTGAGCCATCTTCCCAAGCTCCTCAATTCCTTCCCCTCTCCCATTTTACCTAGTTTGTGCACAATCAACATCAAAGTCAAAGGACAACTTGTAGAATTTGGCTCTCCCTTCTACCACCTTTGTTCCAGGGACAGATAATAGCTAACTGTGCCAACTAAAAAAAGGCTAATGTCTCATTTGTGAATGGTGAACATAAGGCAATGAGCCTACATTTTCAAAAGGAATGATTTATTATATTTGTAATATTTAAAAAACACAAGTGTTGTCAAAACAGCTGATAAACCACACAGAAAACTTAGTCTCATTATTTAGTCACATGCTACTACGACAAGCACTCATCTCTACCATGTTGAGCACAACAATCCCATGAGGCATTCAACCTCCAAGTTATTCCTCACCTACTGTTGATCTAGAGAGAGAAGTAAGGTGGTGAACAAGACAAAGGCCCTACTTTTCAAGAGCTCACCCTGAAAGCTGGTATTACAAAGACACACTTGTGGTTCAGTTCCTAGTCTGCCAGACTCCAAAGCCTGCACTTAATCTTTCAACCATATCACTTCTCGTGGTGGTGGTGGGGTGTTCCCCCCTGGAAGAAAAGCCACACATGCAGGCCAATACTACTTCTAAATAAAGGTAAGGTTTCTCTCTGTTAGAGGCCCAGCATCTTTCCCCAGTTCCCAAGACTAAAGACTTTGATGTAGACATTTAACATACGATACCAACAGTTTCCAACTTTTTTCCTTTTAGACCCTAAACCCTTAGGGCAAAATATACAGAAGGTCAGATACACTGTAGATATCCAGTACATGGTTGAATGAAGTTCATGAGGGTGGAAGTCAGACTGTAATACACTAAGAAGTAAATGAAAGAGTGATAGAATCTGTCCCCCATTTTTTGAGACAAATTTTGTATATCACAGACTGGCCCAAACTATCTACGTAGATGAGGATGACTGTAAACTGATTCCCCTGCCTCCACTGGGATTATAGGGAGGTACCACCATATCTAAGCACTTGGGGCTAAAGATCAAACCCAGGGCTTCATGCTTGTTAGACAACCAACCCACAAACTAGACTACATTCCCAGGCCCAGAATCTGTTTTTTAAGGACAAATATAGAAAGGAAAATAGGCCAGGTATCGTGGCACACATCTTTAATTCCAGCACTCAGGAGGCAGGGGCAGGCAGAGCTCTATGAGTTGAAGGCCAGCCTGAACTATAGAGTGAGTTTCATTCAGCACAGCTAGAGCTACATAAAAAAGAGAACTTGTCTCCCCAAAAAATTAAATAAATAAATAAATAAATAAATAAATAAATAAGACAAAATGGGAGAAATGTAATTTCTGGGGGAAATATGATCACAGTGAGAAGACTGAACTAGGAGGATAACTCAACGGTAGAGCTTGCCTAGCATATAAGAGTCCCTAGGTTTAATTCCAAGTATTACATTAAAAGGGAGGAGTGGAACCAAAAATGAGCAAAGACTTAAACATAGTTGCATTTGTTGTTGCTTTACAGTGCTGGTATTAAACACAGTACATACATAGTAGGCCTTGTACAAAGTAGGTAAGTGCTCTATTATTAAGCCACATCCCTAACACTTTGAATATACTTGTTGATAAGGAAATACAAAACACCATCAAGAGAGCAGGAGTGCTGGGCATGTTGGTGAACATTTGTAATTCCAGGACTTGGAATGTGGAGGCAGGAAGATCTTGAGTTCTAGGCTATTCGGCAAGCATTATGGGGGAGGGGGAGAAACTGGGGGTTTTAGAGCTAGAGGGAGTTGAGTAAAAGTTTGCTTTGTCACAGTGTTTGTGAGAAAATCATTTAACCTCTAGGCCCTATTTACACACATGTAAAACACAATTAACACCTACAACTGGCTGTGACAATTACAGTGTTTATTAGGCAAAAGGGACTCAGTAGCTGCTTCCAACAGATTATTGCTGCAAGTAGAAGCCACACTCCTGTGTTCTAACTTCTCCCAAACTAGCTGTCCTGTCCGGATTTCCTGTCCAAGTTAGTGTTACATGAAATGACAAACAGGATCTTTATTTCTTCTGTGTACCACCCTTTGTGCTATTCCCACTTCCTTATGACAGTGTGAGCTCATGAATGGCTTCTGTGGAAATTTACTGCTCTTATCCCTGAGTAATAGGCACAGTCTGGAGAAGAAGCTGATGAAACTGATGTTAACTTACCAAATCTATGAGATTTTGGACTTCTGTCAAAATCTTCATTGATAACAAAGAAGAGATAAGGTGAAAATACATACACAGAATATTTTTTGTTTTGGGACTCTAAGCCAATAAGATGCTCTTGCAGCCACTCCAGGCACAATGTAAGAAAGAAATGGTCCTGAGTCACTTTCTCAGACTTTCTCTCACTTCTATGGCATACCACCCCAGTTCATTCTTCTGTCAATGTGACAAGTTCCCAAATTCACAAAGAAAGAAGGTTAGTGCGTTTTTATGTAAAGACAACTTTTTGTTCACAACCTTAATTCTTGCTAGGAACTAAACAAAAGGTCTCACCATGGTAAATCAGCACTCTACCCAAGCCACATCCAGGACTCCCACAGTCCCATTAAATTAATGTTTGTCTGTGGGTCATATGCATCAACCCAAATACCTCCCCTCTCACACAGATCTGTGGTTAAAAACAGAGTTGGGTGTGGTGATACATGTGTAAGCTCAACATCTAAGAGACAGAGGTAGAAAGCCTAGACTGGTCTACAACAGAAAAATTCCAGACTAGCTATTGACAATCAGTGGCTGGAGCCATATCTCTGTGGTTAAGAGTGAATACTGCTCTAGCAGAGAACCTGAATTTAGTTCCCAGAAACCGTAATAGTCTCACCACAACTGCCTATAACTCTAGCTCTAGCAGATCAAAGCCATCTTCTGACTTCTGCAGGTACCCTACACACACTTGTGAATACACACACACACACACACAAAAAAAAAAAAAATTTTTTTAAAAGTTTAAATAATCAACCAAACAAAAAATCAAGATGAGATAAATGAGAAAAAGGGTACAGTAAGGATTTGGGACCAGCTCTGTAGTGGAGAGGGGCCATGGGTTCCACAGCCATCACAAAGTAAATAACAGTTATACTTGATTATGATTATCAAAAACAACAACAAGCAAGGTACCAACCTTTACTTAGAATCAATAGCAAATTGCTCATGGAGAACAGAAAGAAATGAGTATGTGAAACACAGGTAACTAATGCTTAGAGTCCAGAAAGAATTGGATGCTAACAAAAGGAATAATGGGGGAAAGAACTAGGAAATGTGTGTACCTTTAAATTTAGTCACCAGCCCAGTTAGAAAAACTACAAATAAAAGGTGAAACTGAAAATTAGTCCGATTAAAAATCTGAATTTTCAGGGCTTGCGAGTGAAAACCTTTACCCAGCACTTGGGAAGCAGAGGCAGGCAGATTGTTGAGTTCTAGGCCAGCCTGGACTACATAGGGAAACGCTGTCTCAAAAACAAATTTGAATTTAACTAGAAAAATTTATTTTAAGGGATTTAAAAAAACACTCTGGGTCATCTCTAACTATCCCACCAAAAACAAAAACAACAAAACAAAATCCACCGGGACCCATCACAAATTTCCTATACAGCATGATACTGGACGATTCGACACAATCTGTCACCAAAAAAGAAACTCTGAAGCATCTGTATTTCCCATTATTGCCATATTAAAGCCAAAATTTCAGAGTAATTTCCAGAACTCCAACCGGAAGCTCACAAGGCGACCCTGCCTAAATGTTCGCCTCAGTTTCTCCGATGCTCACACACGGCAGCGCGCACAAACTCGGCCTAGATGCTGAACCTGAGTCTTAAATGAAAACACCCAAGTTCGCTCTGAAGGAGTTTCCACCTGCCGAGACGCCCGCGGCAGCCCCGCTTCACAGACAGGCGTCCCCGCGTCAGGCGCGGTTTCCCGGAGTCGCCCGGAGCCGCCGGAGGGGTGGGTCTGTCACGCGCGTCTCGGGTCACCGTGGGAGCAGTCGCGCCACACCAGCCTGCTGCCCCCGCCGGAGGCGGCGTCTTCCCCGCAGCCTTCCCTTCAGCCCCCACCGCTGCCCGCGGCCTCCACCCTAGGGACAAGTGAGCGTCCGCTTCGTGAGGAGACTCGCACCCAACTCACCTGTCTCGCGGCCACCTCAGCAGGTCTTGCTCCAGGCTGGCTCCCAGTAAGCGCGCAGCGGCCTCTCCGCGCATGCGCGGACCGCAGAGCCGGCGGCTGCGGAGCATGCTGGGGACTGTAGTTCTATGAAGAGACTGGCCCACTCCGCATTCCAGGCCTCCTTTTGGAGACGCCTCAGGTGCCTGGTCCGTCCTGTGAGCAGCTCGGGGTTATTTTGGAGCAGTCAGGATGGGGTCGATGCACAAGGCCTGAGACTGGGCTTCTCTTCCAGGCTCACAGAACAAGCCTCCAAACCAGCTTAATCCAGTTTTCCATTAGTCAGGCCCTAGGGGAAGCACTAATTGGTTGAGGTTATGACCAAGAAGGATGCAGTGTGGAGCCTGGGGGCCTGCTTTTGAGTCATTCCGTTAACATAGCGTATCCATGGGAACCCAGACCTTAAGGTTGCTGTGAGAACTCGATGTGTTTGAGAAACGTTTAAACACAGTACCAAAGAACAGTCCAGAATGATGACAATTGCCACTGTCACTATTGGTAAGGAATCTAGCTTAAAAATGCTCTTGCCCCATTTCAGAAGGGCTATCAACTGTTTCAACAGCATTAAAGGGACATTTCACCCAAATATGAAAAGACACTTCATCTAAGAGCTGCTTTCTAAGGTTCCTAGTGTTGGTTTATAGTTGTGCCCAGGTGAATGAAAATCAAGACTACAAAACACAAGGCAGGCTCAAGCACAACAATGAGATGAACACAGAGTGAATGGTATCATTCCCATTTGTTGTCAAGAATTCCTTCCCCAGGAAACATAAATATCTACTCATTTTTTATAAGGTCCCAATGATAGATCCAAGTATGATAACACTGAACTTCAACCCAGAGAGCAAACGAATCTATTAGGCTTACTTATAGATCATAGGTGATGAATTGCCTGCAGGAGCATGGGTGACCACAAAGCAGCCACACGGCCATTCGTCTTCACCATAGCTGAGTAGATGGAGCTGCTTTCAGCTTCCCTAAACCTATATAATCTAGCACATTCTGAGATTCCCGAGGCCATGAGCAATCGGGGCAGAACTGCCTCCAGAGATTATAAGGAGCAGCTGTAATCTCTGGTGGGGGGCACAGTAACCCTCGTCAGCCCCTCCTTCTACGAGGGATGCCAGCAGTCAAAAAACCCTACTGTGTTGGTTTCGAGCAAACAGGTGCAACTTCATGATGATGGAAGCCGTCTTGCTCGGAGGACTGTCGTACGACGATGGTTAGAGAAGGATCAATCAAAATTACGAGGGCTAGTAAGTGGCAAAATGGGATTTGCGTTCATTATCTAAGAAATTCATTTGTCTTCTCAGCTGCAGCACCTCTTCTAATTGTGTGCCACCCTCCCCCAACACACACATTACAAATTTACAGATTTATTTTATGTGTTAGTGTTTTACCTGCATGTGTGTGTACCATGTGCATACCAGGTACTTGGGGAGGTTAGAAAAAGGCATCAAATCCCTAGGAACTGAGTTACGGATGGTTCTGAATCATCACATGGGTGCAGGAAATTGAACCCAGGTCCTCTGAAAGAGCAACAAGTGCTCTTAATAGCTGAGCCATCTCCAGCCCCTCAGGTTTTTTTTTTTTAAACATATTTTCATAATTTATTTTTATTTTATGTACATTGGTGTTTTGCCTACATTTGTATCTGTGTGTGAAGGTGTTGGATCCCCTGGAACAGGAGGTACAGACAGTTGTGAGCTGCCATGGGGTGCTGGGAATTGAACCCGGGTCCTCTCAAAGAAAAGACAGTGCTCTTAACTGCTAAGCCATCTCTCCAGTCCCCCAGTTTTTGTGTTTTAGACAAGATGTCTCTATGTAGCTTTGGAGTTTGTTGTATAGACCAGGATTGTCTCAAACTCAGGAGATCTGCTTGCCTCTTCTAAGTGCTGAGGTTAAAGGGGTGTGCCACCATGTCTGGTTCATGAAGAATTTATTTCAAAATGCTATATAAGAACTCTACCAATATGTCTAGGCTACATTAGTCAGAAATCAGGAAGACAGAAAAAGCTCCTTGGACAGAGAATGCTCAGGGAAAGGCCCCTCTCAATTCTGGAAATGGACTGACATAATTTAGATGAGCTGCCCCAGTGTGCACAAGAGTGAGAAAACTAGCACCTGCCCCATTACTCAAACAGGAGAAGCTTCACCAACCAAAACCAGAATGGCAGAGTTCTCTGAATCAAAAAGTTGATTTTGAGAGCTGAGAGAAGCTGGGCACAGATGGCTTAAGCTTTTAGTCCCAGCACTTTCGAGGCAGAGGCAGGTGGATCTCTTGAGTTCTAGGCCAGCCTGGTCTACAGTTCCAGGACAGCCAGGACTACACAGAGAAACCCTATCTCAAAAAAGCTAAACTAAACCAAGCCAAACAAAAAAAGTAATATTAATTTATCCTAGGCTATCACAAAATAAATGAAACCATTTGTTTGTATTGAGACAGAACTTCTCTGGAGAGAGAGGAGAGAGGGGGGAGGGCATGCTCGAAAGCCCCCAATCCAGGTCTCATGTAGCCCAAGCTAGCTTCAAACTCTCTAGCCAAGGATGACCTTCAGTTTCTGATAGTCCTGTCTCATCTCCTGTATGCAGAGAGATCATTCCTAGGTGTGTGTCATTATGGTTTATGAAATAAACATTAAAAAAATTTTATCTTAAGTGCATTGGTGTTCTGTATGCATTTATGTCTGTGTGAGGTGTCAGAGCCCTGGAACTGGAGTTACAGACAGTTGTGAACTGCCATGTGGGTGCTGGGAATTGAACCTGGGTCCTATGGCAGAGCAGTCAGTGCTCTTAACTGCTGAATCATCTCTCTAGCCCCTAAAAGTCTGCTATTCTCTTTTCATACTTGGGGGGAAAGTGAACAACTCATCTATCTAATGAAATATGGGTTAAATTCTTACCCAAACCTTGTTTGGATTTTTGCATTACAATTCAGATGTATTTGCCTATACTCATATAAGCAGCACTATCCTAATTAGAACATTTTAAAGACAGCTGTCTTATTAAAATTTAAAACCATGGAAGAGGTATTACAGTCAAAGTTCAAAAGCCCATTTCCCAATGCCCTCAAGCCATGGCAATGACAGGGAAGAACATCAGAGGATGGAAAGTGACTGGTGACTTTTATGGAGACAGCATCTCTTCCCCTAAACACACTTCGTCTTACTATTGGATATGAGCCATGTATTTCTCAGGGGTTCCCTCGTGAGGATTAAGAATGAGGGACTCTGAGCCTGGCGGTGGTGGCACACACCTTTAATCCCAGCACTTGGGAGGCAGAGGCAGGCAGATTTCTGTGAGTTTGGGGCCATCCTGGTCTACAGAGCAAGTTCCAAGATAGACTTCAAAACTACAGAGAAACCCTGTCTTAAAAAACAAAAACAAGGGGCTGGAGAGATGGCTCAGAGGTTAAGAGCACTGGCTGCTCTTCCAGAGGTCCTGAGTTCAATTCCCAGCAACCACATGGTGGCTCACAACCATCTATTATGAGATCTGGTGCCCTCTTCTGCAGTGCAGATAAACATGGAATGTTATATACATAATAAATAAAATCTTTTAAAAAAATGAGGGACTCTGAAGTAGTTCTTAAATTCTCATGTAACCTTTTGTCCTAGTAGCCTCATCTTCTGATGGCCTTGAAATTCTAACCAGAAATGTAGCTCAGTTTCTTGATGCAGGGCTTTTATTTCCCATTTTTGCGTTTATAATTATTTTAGTGTTTGCTGTTCCACGTGCCATGGCATGCATGTGGAGGTTGGATGACAACTGAGTCTTCTCCTTTTCCATGTGGGCTCTAGAAATCAAATGCGCATGCTCAAGCTTGGCAGCAAGCTACTGTCCACAGAGCCATCTCACTAGCCTCTTGTGTTTTGGGACAGATTCTCATGTATCCCAGGCAGGCTTTGAACTTACTCTATTGCTTTGAATTCCTGATCCTCCTGCCTCCACCTCCCAAGTGTTTGAATTACAGGTGTGAACACCACTTAGGACTAATCATGAAGGCAAATTACCATCCACTCACCAATAAACCCTTTTCTTCAGAAAGTTGGCTTACCAGCCCTTAATCTCAGGTCTCCTCACTTGGGCAAGTGGACCTGTGAGTTTGAGGACAGCCTGGTCTACACAGAAAGTTCAGACAGCCAAAACTACCAAGTGAGATCATGTTTTAAAAAACAAAAAGTTGGTTTATCAGAATTTCTCTGTACATGGCATTTACAAGGTGATACGTATATCACACCAGACCTCCAGCAGAGAATCCAAATTCTGTAGTCAGAACTAGCTGAACTTTCAAGGTAAAAATGTCCATTCATTAGACTACATCTGCAGTAAAAGTTATATCTTGTGAAGGGTCTAAGGAAACACTGAAGGAAGACCCCAGATTCAAATAATATGTAAGAACAAAGAGGGTTTAATATTCCAGCATGCAAGGGTGACACCTGTATCAAATGGCAATGATGAAGAGAGGAACGTGCAGGCTTCTTTTAAGCATAGCTAAGGGGAGTTTCAGGAGAAATTAGGTCATCTCAAACTTAATTGGTTGAGCAAGCATCAGTTACTTTAGTATATTTCTAATTGCCTGAGGTTTAGTTGTATCAATTTGGGACACAGCTATATGAGATTGGACATGACCCAGAAAGGAGCTGCTGGGTTTGTCCTTGAGATACTGTGAGGCTGACTTAGATCTTCTGTTTGCTCCCTCAACTCTGAATGTAAGGTACAGTGGATAATTGGCTCTTTGCTGGGAGAAACACCTGTGTGTCCTTAAGAGAACTGAAACCTAAATTCAGTTGTAAAAGTGGGAATTTAACCCCTTCACTTGTATGTAATGTATGTGAATTCCAGTATTTTAAAAAATGTTACAATGATTGCTATGGAATGCTGTTCTTCAAGCAGAGTAGCCATTACCATCTTTATCAGAGCAGCTGTGACAACCCACAAACCACCCCCAGTCAGAACTGTTGGCATACAAGCACTGGGCAGAGGGACATCAGCCCCTCACCTGAATTCCAGCTACCCTTCCTGCCCCCTCTCCCCAGACATACATAATTCTGCCCAGCTTGGGGACTGGAGAGATGGCTCAGAGGTTAAGAGCACCAGCTGCTCTTCCAGAGGTCCTGAGTTCAATTCCCAGCAACCATCCATTATGAGATCTGGTGCACTCTTCTGGTGTGCAGATATTATACATGGAAGCAGAATGTTGTATACATAATA